GCCTGCTCTATCCAATGCACTCAGACTCGCTCACCTACGTGCTACGTGCTGCCAGGGTAGATCCGTTTACTGGCCAACCGCAAAACGACCGCTCAGCTACAGCTTGTCCGAAGACAACTGCTCGGTTGTGCCCGGGAAAAACAGCTCACCAGCAGGGGTTTCAGGAGACGGTTTTAAAAGTTCAGCTTTGCCAGACAGTTCCATGCTACCTTGCAATCGAGTGACATATATACGTTTGTAGTGTGTGAAATTTTGTGCTTATTTTATCCATTCTCAATGGAACTGTTCACGAATGAATTCTAAATAGTCCAGTTCATGGTTTATGCTGTTTTCTACTGTAAACTGACGGTACAGCCTCCGGACAAGCTATAGATCAGCGCTGGTATCGCAGCTGGCCAGAGATGAGCGGATGTACTTTGGCAGCGCTTAGCTGAGCGAGTTTGAGTGCATTCAGTAACACAGGTGTCTGTTAGACGGAAATGTGGATGTGTACTGCACCATTGCACTTTCGACATTCCAGATGATTATATGAAAACCAAATAAATCTACTGTTCTCGTTGTTATTAGTAGTTACACGGGTGCAAACTTCATTGTTTTAAAACAATAATATCAATGAATATAAAAGTTCGCCATACGTGTGTACACAATCGATGTTACAAAAACACAGTTCCGCAACAGAAAATAACACAGTCAACAAAACTGACACGTAACTGGTTTTACCTGGTGCTTTGAAATGCACCGTCAGCACTGCATGTATACACAGCAACACAACTATCTAAAATTACTGACTAGCGTCAATATACCGGGTAATTCAAATTCACTGGGATCTCGGAAACTATGAGAGATACGAAATCGCTTAGAAAGGAGCAAAGTTAGCATTTAGGTAACTAACAAAGTATCGATTAGAAGCTATCGAAATTCAAAGGCCTTCCGGAAAGTGGCGGAAGAAACTGAATTTTCCCAAAATCGTTTTACTTTCTTCCTGACTTTATCTGTTGTCTAATTATAAAATAAATTGCACATTAACTGCCGCTTTTTCTCCTCTACAAAAAAGTATAATTCATTTCATTTTTTCTTATGAACGAGATGTTGGATTTTTGCACAGATGAATAGAGCTTTTAATTTTGATTCCCAAAATGTATAATAGGTTAAAAAAAGCAGAATTAGGTAGACCTAGTCATACGTTTCGCATAACAGATATATCATAAAATCAATTCATTTTTCCTGACTTTACTTAAGATGGGATTTTAAAATCAGTTGCATATTGTCATACTCACTTATTCTCCTCTACAACATGGCGTATCCAAATTTTCAATTCGACATTTCTGCTTTCGACTTCCATCACCAACCTTGCTTTTTCATAAGTGATTTTTGAGTCCTAAATTCAGTAACGTATTACCTTAGTTATCCATGAATTTGTTGTTTAATGAAAATTATAAGGAAATCAAGAGGTATGATGGAACCTAAACACAAAATGAAAATTTTATCTGTGCTAGTAACAATAATAATCATAAATAAGCAGAGGTAAATCATAGCAGATGTTTAAAATGTTGTTATTTTGTACGCAAAGCCTCTCTCTTCTCTGTACATGGTTCACTGCTCTGTTTATTTCTCTTCCAAACTTTCTTGATATGTTCAATTTGAGGGCTGGTCTGCTATATGAAGCAAATGAAATCTGACAGTTTCAAGGCCTACCTCGGAACTTCTGTTTTTCTGGAATAACTAAGGTTCGGCTATGCCATTGTATAACACGTTTTTTGATATCCGTGCTAGGGCCAATACTTTTTCTTCTTTATACAAGCGATCTTCCCACCCGACTTTCTTCTATGTGTTCCATCTATGCAGATGATACTAAAGTCTATAACACTGCCATGAACTCATCTGTACTTCAAGAAGACCTCAAGCTGATCAGAAAGTGGTCAGAACTTTGGCTCCTGCCTTTAAATCTCTCGAAATGCTACGCTCTCCACCTGGGAAAGAATAATCCTAACATACCATATAAGGTTGGCAAACATACCTTAGGGAGTGTTTTTCTTCATACAGATCTTGGTCTGACAGTTAATGACCGGCTCACCTGGTCGGAGCACATTCAGAACATCACCTCTAAGGCAAAGCGGTTGCTATATATGATGGAAAGATCATTTAGCGGTTGCACCGTTAGTACCTCCTCCTTCTTGTACACAACTTTCGTACGACCCCTACTGGAGTTTGCTGCTCCGGTATGGGATTCAAACCTTGTTCGCTATAGCAGCTTATTAGAGGCCGTTCAGCGTCGTGCTACACGTATGCCTTATGGCACACGCAGGCCGAGTTATGAAGACCGCCTCGAGTTATATAACCTGCCTGCTTTTGCTGATAGAAGAATGCGAGGAGATCTCATCATCACATTCAGAGCACTGCATAATTTGTTTGGTGTGGACATGTCGCATCTGTTTCGTCTGGCAACGAACAATCTCAGAGGCCATAACTTCAAAATGCAGAAGGAAGCTTTTAGAACCTCTACTCGTCAGAACTTAATCTCAAACCGTGTCTTCGATGCATGGAACAGTCTTCTATCTTATGTAGTGAACTCGGCATCCGTCAACAGTTTCAAAAACAATTATGTTAGACACCGCAGTGCTTAACATATTGTTCCCATTCTGTATATGTCTACTTCAGAAGTGCTAAGATGGTCCAATTGTTATATTTCTTTTGTCTGTACACTAATATCTATTATGTGTTTGAGTTTATAGTACTTGTACTCAACGCAAATTTGTTGTTTAATAATAATAATAATAACAATAATAATAATTAAGAGCTCCAGTATGGCGTCCATCAGATAAAGGACAATAGACGAGACATCGTATTGAAATTCTTATTATGTCATCTTATAGAGAAGAAAAAGTGGCAATGTAGTGTGTGTCTCTTACCGGAAGTACTTTGAATTTCGAAACTTTCCAAACGGCATTTTGTTGATTACCTAAATACAGTAGACCCGCGATAATCCGGTCGCTGTCTAATCCGGCGCCCACTGTAGGCCGACATGTCTTTGAATTGTACATACATACGTATCTGACAATCTTCGCTAATGTAGATCACGCAGGTTTGAACAGGCTACAACTTGTACGCGCCACCGCTATCGTACTCGACGCGTAAGCATTGTTTTACTTAGTTTGAAATTGACTACTTGTGATAGCGGTACGGCCTAGCGTGCGTTCATTGTTCACTATTTTTTCATTGTGTATTAACTACCTATAGTACCTAGTAATGTCATCACAAACTCAGAAGCGAAAGCACAAAACATTGACAATTAAAGAAAAATGTGATATTTTAGATCGCTTAAATCGCAATGAAACTTTCAGTAGTTTAGCAAGTGAATATGGCGTAGGCCGATCTACAATTTATGACATTAAAAGAAACCACGAGAAGATCAAGAAGTTAGTGTCAGCTACTGACTGCGGATCAGGCAAGAGACAGACACTCAAGAAAGCTGAACATCCAGAAGTGGAAGAAGCTTTGTACATGTGGTTTCTTCAGGAAAGAAATAGGCATGCACCAATTTCAGGGCCCATGTTGGCCATGAAAGCTAAGTTTTTTTATAACGAAATAAAAAAAGATGTTTTTGTGGCCAGCAAGGGATGGCAAAAGCGCTTTAAAAGTCGTCATGGCATACGTTTAATGATTATTACAGGAGAGAAACTTTCTAACGATGCCACCTGTATAGAGCCCTTTAAATTAAGATTTTTGTAAAAGGTGAACGAAATATTGACCGGTCACAGCTGTACAATGCAGACGAATCAGGGCTTTTCTGGCGTGTGATGCCTAACAAAGCTTTCGTTTCTTGTAACGAAAAACCCGTACCTGGACGAAAAGTAAGTAAAGAGCGTGTAACCATACTACCATGTGCTAACGCTGCGGGAACGCGCTTAAGATGATGGTCATTGGGAAATCATTGATTTGTACACTATTACGGACAAAAAGTGCATGGATGACAAAAGACCTTTCCAAAAAGTGGTTTGATGAAGTTAGAAAATGGTTAAAAGATCATAATTTTCCGCAAAAGTTGTTGCTTCTCGATAACGCTCTCGGTCATCCGTCTGAAGAACTAACAACTGAGGATAAAAGCATCACTGCGATGCTTCTTCCGCCAAATTGCACTGCACTGATTCAACCAATGGACCAGAATATCATTCAGTTTGTCAAGCAAGACTATAAGAAGAACCTACTTCTGAGAGCCGTATCAAAAGACCAACCAATAGAAAACACTTTAAACGAATTTAATATGAAAGACTTGGTTTTTGCTCTTTGTCAGTCGTGGAATGCGCTACCGTCATCAACTATTAAATCGTCTTGGAAAAAGTTATGGCCAGATATAGTCACCACTCCTAGCAAGGTTCCACAAATCAGTGTAACTTCGGAAGTTATAGAACAAGTCGCTACAGAAACACAGATAAGTCCGGAATATTTGGAAATCTGGTGCCGTGGAATGGATAAAGAGGAAAATGTTTTTCATGTAGTGTCTGACGAAGAGATTATAAAAGAGGTTTCTAATTATACAACAAACAATCAGGAAAATAACGACGACATGATTGCAACTGCTCCACAAGTCACAGCACAAGACGCAATTAACGCCTTTGAGCTACGTTTACTTTTGAGAAGACTGAGGGACAAAGCTCTGATCTCGCGTTATAACAACCCTAAACAAAAAAAAAATTGATGAATATTTCCAAGCTTCATAATTTGATAAATTAATTAATGATTTTGATTAATAATCCTTGATTATTTTGGTACGTATGTATGTGAATTTATGTTTAATTTTATAATAAAAAGTAAGCTCTCTATTTTTATTTAATTTACTAAATTCGACATACATAAACTATGTATGATTTGTACTTCAAAGTACATACATATACATAACATATATAATCTTACCATTGGATATGTAATTTGTCGGATTACAAGGTACTCTTTTGTAAAAAATTCCGGACTATAGGGGGTCTTAAGGTGCAATTTCGTTGCGACGTCCCGCCGCCGCGGTCGACCGCAACTGCTAGCCGTTGCGGCTGACCGTTGCGGCCAAGCGATTTCGTTGCAGCGTCTAAATTTCGGCAGTCAGGGGTCGTGCTCTAAATTGTGAACATGGATTCAAAAAATCTCGCCAAAATAATTTTACTTGAGGACGAAGAAGAAGATGAAGAAGTGATATTATGGTGGTCTAGTCAACGAGAAGATTTTGACAGATTGTACCAATCTCGCAAGGAAGAGGGATATTTTAAAATTCTAATGAAGAATCACCTGGATACAAACGAACAAAAATTTCGTGAATTTTTTCGTTTAAATAAGGAACAGTTCCAGTTTGTTCTGAATATAGTATCGACAGATTTAAAGAAACAATCCACAAATACCGTTCACGACCCTATATCTCCGGAAGAAAAGTTGGCATTGGCGTTAAGGTAAGAAAAAACAAAGTTTTAAAGACTTTATATTATTAAGAAACTCCAAACGCTTAAACAATGAACATGAAAAATAAACGTTACTGGTTAGTCCAGCCGTATCTAATATTTTCCAAACTGTACTGCATATCAGATGAATTATATACAGATGCGGACGTTAATGGTGTTAATACTACATTTTCCTGAGAACTTGGAGTGCTGGAAACAGTTGAAACCGACGTTAAAGGCGCTAATAAATTCTGTTGTGATCTTGAAGTACAGGTACGTGTTGGTTCGTTCGTATGTAATTCCGGTGACGCCTGTAATTCGGTAACTAATGTCAAAATTCCCAGTTTAGCTTTCGCTATTTGATGAGGAGGCAATTTTTTAACAGTCATCGCTATACTTTTGAAAAATAAATCAATCTCATCATCTTCGGGTTTTTGGGTTAAAGCAGACAACATTTGCATCCTTTGTTTGGATCTTTCTTCAACATTCTCCAAAAAGAGATTTTTGCGTTGGCTTCGTTTTGAAGAAGTTGAACCTGCATAGCTGTCTGGGGTACTAGAACGTGATTTGTCGATGGCATTCTGACGCAGTTTTTTCTCCTGCCTCGGATAATCGGAAGGTGGCGGTGAAGACAGGTCATCATCAACTAGTGCATTATCCACATCGAGAGAAGTGTCCACCTCTTCTTCACTAAGTTCCCTATCTATATTTTCCTCAATGCCGGTGGCAGCTTCATTGACATTACTGATGGTTCTAAAATTAAAGATCGTGAACTCGGAACTCTATAAAAAAATACCAAGTAAACTTACTGTCGTTCGGATTTCACGTTATCTAGAAACTTCAGATATTCAAATAACGCCCATTTCGGCGGTTTCGCTGATGCTGCACTCCCTGTTCCTATCTTTTGCTTCCTTTTGTGTTTAAGAAAGTTATCTCGAATGTTTTTCCATCGAGATTTGCATTCATCAGCTGGTAACAGAAATTTGTGAATTTGTGAAAATGTTTGCGTATAAATTTCTTTTTCAGGTTTTTAGCCACCGGAGAGACCTTCAAGTCACTCTCGTTTGCTTTCCGTTTTTCACCGAGCTACATCTCCGTACTTATTCAAGAAACATTAGAAGTACTCAGTAAACATTTGGTCCCAATATTTTTGCCCCCACCAAATGCAACCGATTTGAAGAAAAATGCAACGGAATTTTGGAGCAAATGGAATTTTCCCAACTGTGTTGGTGCTGTTGACGGAAAACATATCCGAATTTTTTGTCCACAAAAAAGCGGTTCACTATTTTTTAATTATAAAGAATAAGTAGATGTCTTATGGGGATTCGGTCTCAAAACTTCCAAAATCCGCCACCAGAGGCGCTGGCGTCGCGCGCCATTGACAGGTTGTTGGACGGAATCTGTATTCATGAGTTGGGGATTCCGCCGCTAGATGGCGCTGTCAAACCAAACGGAATCTGTGTGTCATTGGACACCTGTCATGCGTCATTGGGCATCTCACGCATAGATGGCGTTAAAACGTCATCTGTTATACGTCATTGGACACCTGTCATTGATGGGTTGGGCATCTCGCGCATAGATGGCGCCGATTTGTTTGGCGCTGTACAAACCAAACGGAATCTATGTGTCATTGGACAGCTGCCATTGATGGGTTGGGTATCTCGCGCATAGATGGCGCCGATGTCGCACCTGTCTGGTGTTGGCGTGGATTACGGGGGGCATTCAGAACGTGTATACAGGGGTGCATCGAAAAATAGCGGATCGATATACCGACGGTATATCGTTAAATCGTATATAGCAAGGCGTGACCTAAATAGCGTGGTGGGCTCCTCTGGTCGGTCGGTCGGTCGGTCAGAATGTCTCATGACCTGTATACGATGTACTGTTATTATTATACAGGATGATACCGTTCAAAATGAAAATAGTATAGACATTCTGACAATTATTTCGCAAACCAGAGGTATTTTCAATAAAACTACAATAATACGTTTAATATTTTATTGAAAATAGAAAAAAACTACATAGGTAATATGATATTTGAAAACCAGTGACGTAGACGTTCAACATTTCTCTGGGTACAGGAAAATTGTCCGTTGGTGTGGCATGGATTGGAATCAGCAACAAAGTTTCCAGTAGCACACGGTGTACCATCATACTTGCAAACATCAATAATGTTGGGAAAAACACCAAAAATGTGACATTTCTTGAGTAAAAAGTTTGCTTTCTGTTCTCCACGAACGTAGACATAGTCAGCCGCATATATCACCTTATTTTTAATTATTTCATTTAACTTGGAATATTTAACGTCGCCGGAAGAATATTTAAGCCCATGGAAATTCTTCTCCAAGTAAGCGACAGTTTTCTTGTCTTTAGTATTTAATGTAGAAAAAGGTTGCGGAGGTGTAAAGATGTAATGACTTTTCTTGAAACCAATTTCGATACATAGTTCTTTAGGTACGAATAATCCGTCAACTGTAAAGCCTTGAATGTCAACAAACGCGATCCTCATGATGTCTGATGCGGAACTGAGAGTCCTTCGTTGCTTACGAGATGGTTTTAATAACTTCGGTGAGGGGGAAGTACTCGATTAAGCAGTCATGTATAATGATGCAGTAGACCTTGGTGTTGGTTGGAAAGCCAGTATCGGCTTCGATATCCAATCTAACATCAACAGTTGATGATTTCATGGTTTCCTCTTGTTTGGAACAGTCAATAACAAACAAAGCGCGATTTTTAAAAGCGGTATAATCTAAAAGACATCTCTTCAGAGGAGAAGAAGAAGTTGTATAGCTGGTTTGAAAGTCGCTATAGTTGAAATGAGCTTCAGTAAAGTGATTGTTTGCAAAGTCCAATTGCATACGTTCGTTGGGATAGTATTCACCATTCAAAGATACTCGAATACTAGCAGCATTCACGTGATCAAACAGGGTCGGGTCTGAGGTTGCGACGTCACGTTTACCGGTTTGGAAACATACTATAATGAAACGTGGTCTTTCGATTGCGGTGCTAGTTTTAACTGACCATATTTCTCTTCTCGCATCTGCGGTAATTGCAGGCAGTTCATTCAGATCCCATTTTCTAAACGGTATAAGTATCGGCTTATCAGTTTGAATAGCTTTCAAAAGTTGTTCTTTCACATCATCACTCGGGTAAATATGTTTGATTTTCAGTTCCATGCTTTCAATAGTTATTTTCGCTGTCGTCGTCGTTCCAGTTTTTTCCTTGATAATGATACAATCGTTATCGTTTCTAGCTCTCACAAATCTGAGAGTTTGTCTGCCACACGTAATCATAGGATAATCATTGAAAATGTTGAAAATATGTTTAAGCGGCATTAGCAAGCTAAAAGACTTGTTATGTGTTGACGCCATTATAGGTGTTGAAGGATAGTTCCATCCAGCTATAGCCATATGATTTGAGTCTTCCTCACTGTAACATACGTAAGCTCGGACAGTACTTACAATACCAGGATCACGTACTGTTTCAACTTCTCTAGCGGATTCACTGTAAGTGCAAGAGTCAAATAGGAAGGCACCAAAGTTTGGAGCTAAAGATACATCTCCTGCTCCTCCTCCTCCAGTTATTTCAACTTTTCCTTTGATAGATAGAAGGGAAGCGTTCATTGCAAAGAACGAATCTACTTGATTGATGCTAAATTCCACAACATCATTACAATTAAATGACTTGATGAACGGCGTATAAGATCTATACTCAGCCTTGCGAATAGATTCATCGAATGCTGGAGATCGATATAGATCAAACATCGGAGAAGTATGTGATGCTGCTGCTGCTGCCTCCTCAGTTTTTCTCTTTTTGTACATGATTCTTGTTGTTGTTGACATGATATCCAAGTGAGCGTAGAAACAGGATATTTGATGTAGTTAGTAGTAGATGTCGTCGCTTAGGTGCTTGGGGTAATACTGAAGTTGCCTTGGAAGCACCACTATGTCTTATAATCACTAATCCCATCTGCGCTTCGCTCTCAACTCCAACACAAGAGTACTAGTTTCACCTTGAAAGTTTACAGGACGACCGTCTTGATCTAAAGCCAACACTGTGATGTTGGTTATTTCTTGTTTCGGTATAACAGGTAGATATAGTAAATTTACAGGTGTTTCGACTATAGCGTATCCAGGATCGGCTGTCACAGCAAATTCGTAGATCGTGTGTGCAGGCGTGTCTCCGTCAAAGGCTCCCGACGTAATGTTAGCATCAAAGTGTATGGTTGATACTTTTATTATGTTTACAGGTAAATCAGAAGAATGCTTTTGACCAGGATTAAGAACTTTTTTCGAGAATCCCAATAGATGTCCAAGATTATTCGGTTCTGTAAAAACTATTTTATAATACTTGCTAAAGATTTCACATTGCAGTGTATTATTGTTAGGTTTTAGAGAAAAATAATCATCCGGAGGAGCAACTTCATTTTCAAGATTCATTTGCGTTCGTATAAATGTTTCTATGTCGGTAATTTCATAACAACCTGTCGGAAACTCGATGACTTTTAATTGACCACCACCACCTATCCGGTCGATATAATAAAATTTATCTCCTTTTTCAATATTCGGTATGGAATTGTATGAAGTAAAAGACCTAAGCGCCAATTCATAATCTTTTTTCGGATCCAACACTATCGGTGTTGAAGGACGAAATGAAAATATATGAGTAGTGCTATTGACTCTCAACAACTGCGACATGATGAATGAAAAAATATAGCTGTGTACTAAGCATTTATTCAAGTTTTTTTTTTGTTTATTTTCGAATGGATAATTTACAGAAATAACAATTTGCTTGAGCAGTAGCCGGTCCATCCCAATGTGTTGTCCAATCAGGTCTGTTGTAGTGAACATAGCATGGAAGTCGTATTTGAAGATCAAAATTGGATGTGTATTCTGCAGGCAGTTTGTGCCATATACTCAATAATTCTGCAGGTCTCACATTGCTTATTAAATATTCCAGCGGCGGAATATTCTTCTCAAACTCTTCTAATGTAAATTCCGATAATGTTTTATTATCCATCGTTGTTGTTGTTGTTATTGTTTAGAAATTTCAAACACAATTGTCCGCAATTAACTTGATTATAAGTTTGGTAAGGATCGTTGTTGTAGAAAATTTTAGCGTTTTTCAGATATCGAACAAGTTCCTGTGGAGGCTTCAGGTTACCAAATGAATCGAAATACTCAACGTTGTTGTTTATCTTTTTATAAGCTACCCAATGAGTTCCGTTGTTTTGTGAAATATCTAAGTTCACGACGGCGCATTCTCTTTTACGTGGACCGTCTCGTGGTAAAGTGTCACGCATGAAGACACCTCGGAAATGAGGTATGTTCAAGAGCTTCGCATATTGCTTTATTTCATAATCATAAAGCGCTTTCTTGGGTAGCTTGATGTTTAGTTTTTTTGACTTTTTTTTTTGAGGTACAACCCATAACCACCTTTAGCATTTTTTCTCAAATACAATCCTTTGCCCAAAGACTCCATAGCTTTGTTATGGCGATGGTCTTCCTCCAATTTCTTTTGTGCATTCTTGGCATCAACGACCGTTTTGGCCACACCTGCAGCTCCCCCTGCGAGCGCCCCCAAGGCACTTAATCCGGCGAAAAGGGGGATCAAGGGTAGGAATCCCCCAGATGTGCCTTCGATCGGAAGTATTCTCGGTAGTCGAACTTTATGTTTTCCACCTGCACTCTTCACCGCTAATCTTGCCGCTTTAAGAGCAACCAATGCAGACTTTTTTAATGTCGTGGTGGTGGGAGCATTTTTCTTCAAGGACTTTGTGATTTTCGTGAGAACACCTCGTCGAAAAGATGATTTCTTCTGCCCCATACCCAATTTTCGCTTAACTTTCATTGCGGTAGTTGTTAGCCAAGCTGCAGTCTTTTCTCCTAGTGAAGCGTCAGGTGCTTTTACACGTTCCCAGGCTCGGTTCTCAAGAATCCAATCAGCTTTGTGTCTGTCTTTCAAATTTTTGTATAAGGCGTATGCAATATCGTGGTCTCTTGCAGCACGATCCAATGGGTTCTTTCCAGGATCTCCTCGTGCTAACCTCTTCTTTAATTTAGTCCCCGCTGAAAATATACATATACATGTGTGAGAATGAAAAAAAAAATATCCTAATCTGTCGCACACTTACGTCCCAGGAACTGATACGAAGGTACGTGGAGTTCTATCGGAAGATTATTTATCAGAGAGTTTACAACACCTTCACCCTTGTACGTTAACATGAGAACTGTTGATGATGCGTTAGCAATATCTACATATATACTTTTACACATTCCTTATTCGAACGCCACACGATGAAGGTT